ACCCACTGACTCCCACCCTGCTCCTTGGCCATAGACGCCCACGTGCCCATGCTGCACGCGGAGCAGGCATGCACTGGGAGCCCAATCTCCCCCTCCCGCCGCCCCCCCCCCACCCCGCCACTGGAAAATCCCACTGCAGCGGGCCCTCTCCCTAGCAGGATGCTTCTGGGGGTAAAGTCTGCCTTCCCATCTTTGTCATGGGCTGTGGGAGGGGCCTCCAGTCCCGCGCTCTCCCGGAGCTACAGCATCCATCTGCCAGGGATTCGCTCTAACGTGTCTTGGGGCCTGATCACAGGAGAGACACATCAGTCTCGGGGCAAGTGATGGAGGGTTAACCAGAGATGAGGCCAACAAGCAACGTATCTTCACCTTCGCTTGCTCCCTGTAGTCCACATTCTGTGGCTGGTCCCTCTAATTAGCTGCAGCAGGGGAGAGGTGGCAAAATCTAGACCTAGACCTCAATGGGTATGGCACAAACCAGTTTGCTAATTGTAAATTAGCTCAATTATCTTGCAATTAACTGAACTCTCTTCTCCCACTAGCATATCTTAGCCTGGCCGTGAGTTTTCTCAGCGTGTGCATCTAGGTCAGGCTGCCGTAGGGGAGGGCAGCCATCGGAGTCCTCATAATCAGCCAGCGTGCTCATTAACGTGCTTGGAGGGCTCCAAGGACGGTGTGCACTCAGAGCAATTCTTTTTTAAACCCCTCATCTTGTGGGAAGACCAGGCAATTAGGGAGTGCAAGTGAGGGGGACGGCTGAACCACGCTAAGCGCTGCCAGGCCCACTGACGCACGCAGGGGTAGACGCGAGGCCAGGGTGGGAGCCTCCTCCAGTGCACCTGTCCCCAGGAGGCCTGGGGGGGGGGTAAGGTGTGGGCCACCACTTCTGTTGGAGGCCATGGTGGCTTTCCTTTTTTTTTTTTTAAGATTTATTTATTTATTTTTTTATGATACAGAGAGAGAGAGAGATAGAGAGAGAGACAGAGAGGCAGAGACACAGGAGGAGGGAGAAGCAAGCTCCATGCCGGGAGCCCGACGTGGGACTCGATCCCGGGACGCCAGGATTGCGTCCTGGGTGGAAGGCAGGCGCCAAACCGCCCAGCCAGCCAGGGATCCCTGCCATGGTGGCTTTAAGAGCTGACACACTCACTCACACGCCCACCCCCCACCCCCCACACGCACTCCCCCCCCCCCATGAAATGGCCCATTTCATGCAGATGGAGTAGCATTTCATCTCTCCAAACGGCCAGATGATATCACACGTTTCTCTACAGCACTGAGGAGGAACGGCCCGCTTCTCCCACCCAGCTTCAATCGTGGGTGGAGCCGATGCCGCCCCGGTTCTGCCCGAATCCCCACGGTGCTCAACATTGTCTCCACAGACCGAGGACTAGTGCAAGCGACCGGGACTCTCCGGGTGAGGGTATTATGTGGCCAAGTCAGCACCGGTGGCCACCTGGAGTGACGGGGAACAGTGCCAGGGCTGTCCTCAGCCGATGAGGGACAAGAGTGGAGGGAGAAACAGCCCCGCTCCCTGGCCTCTCACAGGTAGAAGAACCCGACAATTGTTTGGTACTGTCGCGCCCCCGCCCCGCCCCCTCCCGGAGCTCCCCAGCCGGGACGAGCTGCGTGCCCACAGCGGTCTTCTGCCCATGGATGTGCCCGTTGTGGTCTTCTTTCCCAAGGCATCCCCTTCCCCATACCGCTGCTTCTGGGGATGAGCTCCCAGATAAACCACTTGCACTCAGATCCTCTCCTCAGGGTACACTCCTGGGGAAAGCCAAGCTAAGACACAGCCAGTGCGGCCACGGCAGGTCTGGTCCATCCTGTGACAGGGTGGCAGATACCCCAGTGTACCTGGTGACAAATACTCCGGGACGTGGGCTAAGGGGCTGCATCCGAATCACGCTCATGGTGTACAGGGGAGGTCTACAGTCGAGTGGTTCTCGAGCAGCGGACGATGCTGCCGACACCCCCCCCGCCCCCCCCCCCCCGGGCCGGGAATGTTTGGCAATATCCAGCCATTCTTGGTTATGGCAACCGAGGGTGAGGGCTATCGGCAAGCAGTGGATGGATGGTGCCAGGGATGCTATGCTGCTGGATGGCCTGCAGCGCGCAGGCAGCCCCCACGCGACACGTGTCCAGGTGCCCAGGTTCAGGCAATCCTGGCACGGTCCAGAGCACCAGAGCCAGGAGACCTGGCTGTGGGTGCCTTTCTCGTCTCTGAAAGGGGGATCATACATCTACCTGCCGAGATTCCGAGGAGCCCGGAGTTGAGGTAACTAGAGCGTGGAGTCGATCATCCCTTCCCTCTTCCCTCGGCGGTGCCGACCTCCAGCCGAGTGCGGGCCGCCCGAGTCAGCGACCACACAAGGATGGAAGGGACGTCGCCTCTGCCCTCAGAGAACCCAGGGGCAGGCGTGAGCAGAAACGGTGCGCACGCTCGGCTCCTTTCCGGCGTGGCGGCTGGCCCTCACAGGGCGTGGGGCACGTGTGCTTGGGTGGAACAGCAGCGAGCAGGAGACTGACGTGCTTCTCCGAGGTCAGAGGTCAGGGCGGGACGTCTGAGGTGAAGAGGTGGAGATCGGCAGGGGCCTGAGCAGGGAGGGGCCTCTCTGCAGCAGCAGAAGCAGCAGCAGCAGCAGGCTTTGGCTGGGGTGTGTGTGTGTGTGCGCGCGCGTGCGTGCGTGTGTGTGTCTGTGTGTGTCTGTGTGTGGCTGGAAGGGTCAGGCTGTCCGGGGCACGGTGACTGCGGTGACTGCGGCCGGAGCACAGACACGGGGGAAAGAGGGGAGAGAGATGAGCTGGGAGGGAAGGCAGGCGGCAGGCGGCCAGGGGCCTATTCCCAGGGCCGGCCCAGGGCGGGGCGGGCAAGGCACGTAGGGCACCGACCCCGATGGCACCGGCGCCACCCGGAGAGCCGGGGTCCCCCTCAACCTTGGGCCCCGGGCCCCCTTGGTGGTCTCACCCCTGTCCGGGCCCTCCTCCTTCGCCGTGCTAAGTAAGAAGCCGGGAGTCCGCTCCCCGGGCCGGGAGCAGCCGTCCGGCAAAAGCCGCGGACTTCCTTATATTCCAGGAGGAGAGCTGGATTACCGCATAGAAAAATAGGCTTTTGCCATCCAGTCTCGTACTTAGCCTCAATTCGGGCAAGTGGGGGTGGAAAAAAGAGAGACGGGGAGGATGTGTGAAAGAGTTAGGGAACTCAACTTGATTTCAAGCCCCCTTGAGGCGCCCCCCAAGTATCCATCTGCCCAAAGACAGTTGGTGGGCCGGTACAAAAGTATTCCCGTCTGTCCCCCAAACAGGGCCATGTCTCAGGAGCTCTCTGGCGAAAAGTTGTCAATCCCCTTTCACTCGACCGAATCTACTATCCGCACAGTTGTCATCATTGCCATTGGTCAAGATCCACACCGGTTGCATAGTTGTGCGGGGTTTGGGACTCCCACCCGCTGGTCTTGGCTTCCTCACCTTTGTGAGACTTTTCTCTGAATATCTTATTATCGCTATGTCTCCGGTCAATATCAAGAGACTGTTTTTTTTTTTAAAGATCTTTTATTTATTTATTTATTCATGAGAGACAGAGAGAGAGAGAGAGAGAGAGAGAGAGAGAGAGAGAGAGGCAGAGACACAGGCAGAGGGAGAAGCAGGCTCCATGCCGGGATCCCGACCTGGGACTCGATCCCGGGACTCCAGGATCGCGCTCTGGGCCAGAGGCAGGCGCCAAACCGCTGAGCAACCCAGAGATCCCCCTCAAGAGACTGTTTTACATGAAACCTGTCCCCAAAGGCCCGCACATCTCAAGGCAGCGGAGGTAGTGGAAAAGGAGGGCCCATCAGTTACCTACGACCTAATCACCTTCCTCCAAATCCAGCCTTGGGATCCTGGCTGTGGTCTACAAGTCAGAGTGATCACTGAACCGCGCTGCCATCACCCGGGACAATAGCTCTCAGCTCCATCCACGCGCAGGTCACCTTCTCAAACCGATAGTTTATTTATTTATTTATTTCAAACCGATAGTTTAATCCCGAACTGTAATTCCCAGCCGGCGCGACTTGCCTACGGCATCCTTTGCAAAACGCCCTTACTGTGCTACACAGGGAAGTAGGAGGTAAATACTGAAGTATCAGGAAGGCACGTTGATGCACACATCCACATGACAACCACCAGGCAGGAGATCACTGGAAGATTCAAGGAGGGATTCTGACGCCTGCACCAAGTACGGCGAGCCTCCACGTAGGCAGGAGCCACACACGTGGACTCTGTGGGGTGTGTTCAAGTGGTGATGGGCACCAGGCGCAGCCCTGCCGTTCACGACAGGAGACTCAAACAGTGAACGATTGTGGGTGAAGCGCTGGCCAAGAAAAGAAAGGAACAGCTTCCAAGGCTTCCCCGAAGCCGCCTTCCTGCGCAAATTGGCGTGGACCGGGACCTTACGGGGTGTGGGGGGGGCGGGGGGGTGCGTATTCCTCGGATCGGATCGTTGCCTATGGGTCGGTTGCGTGCCTTGGGCGTTAAGTGGAAAGCAAGGGTCTGGCCCTGCCGCGGAGGTGGAGGTGCGGGCGGCGGGCCTCGTAGGCCACAATAGGAGGAGGCCTAGGCCTGGAGGCCTAGGCCTGCAGCCCGCCCGCCCGTGGCCTGCAGAGAGCGCACGTGCGCACAAGTGGATGCTCCGGCGGGGGCGGGGGGCGGGGAGGGGGGGCGGAGGCAGGGGCACTGAGCCCGGGAGGGGGGAGGGGGCGGGGGGCTCCCATCCACTTCCGGCCCAGCCCCCAGCGACTCCAGAGGCGGCGCCCTGGTGGCTCCAACACGTGTAGCTGTTTCCCCAAATCCCAGGTACGTTGCGTGGTGCTTTCGTGGGGCGGGCTTCTGGCCGACCATTTGCAAGTCAGGCTGGTGGCTCCCGCTGTGCAGCTGCGGCGCTTGCGAGACGTGAGAGATGGAAGTAGAGTCCTCAAGGCGCTTGCGTTTTCTCTACTTTGTAGGGCCCCTTTTGCAGCACGATGCAAGACGCCGTAGAACGAGCTCTGGACCGTGCGGACTATGTCATCGCGAGTGCCCAGCAGAGGCCTCCTAAAAGGAAATGCTCGTCGAGTGGGGCAGCAACTCTGTTTGAAAAGCTTTATGACATCTACGTGGAAGAGTGTGGGAAAGAGCCCGAGGCTACGGAGGAACTGAGAAGCAACGCGAACTTGTTAGAGAAGCTGGTTAGGAGAGAGTCGTTGGCGTGTTTAGTGGTCAACCTACACCCAGGAGGGGAGGGATACTCGCTGATGCTGGAGGGGAAGCAGGGCTCGTGCTCGGAGACCATTCGGCTGCCTTACGAGGAAGGCGAACTGCTTGAATACCTGGATGCTGAAGAGTTGCCTCCTGCCCTGGTGGATCTCCTGGAACAAGCTCAGGTTAACATTTTCCACTGTGGGTGTGTCATAGCCCAGGTACGGGACTACAGGCAGTGCAGCCTCGCCGAGCCTGCCGGCTACCAGACCAGGCACGTTCTCCTGCGCCCCACGATGCAGACTTTAGCCTGCGACGTGCAGTCCATAACCAGCGATGGCCAGCAGTGGACCGAGGAAGAGAAACTGTTGCTTGAGAGCCAGCTGATCTTGGCTACCGCCGAACCCCTGTGTCTTGATCCTTCTCTATCAGTAGCCTGCGCTGCAAACAGGCTGCTCTATAACAAGCAGAAGATGAACACTCGCCCGATGAAAAGGAGCTTCAAGAGGTATTCCGCACCCTCGCTGACTCGCCAGCAGGAGCTGTCTCAATGCCCACCTCCTCCCGAGCTGGGACTATGGGCCTCTTGCAAAAAAAGCAGACAAAGCCAAGCCGGGCAGCGGTACGACCTCAAGATTTCTAAAGCAGGGAGCTGTGTGGATCTGTGGAAACGGAGGCCCTGTGACTTGGCCGTCCCTTCTGAAGTGGATGTGCAGAAATACGCCAGAGGGAAGAGGCCGGCCAGATGCCACGTCTCCCCTGCAGGGGTCTGGCCAGCCCCCGAGGTAAGAGACGGTGGTGTGTTTGGCTATGAAGGCGGCCGTGAGCCTCAGACCACGGAGCTGGCCTCCACGCAGCCGCCGAGCAACCCACCTTTCTGCGGACAGAGAAGGCCCTGGCACAGAGCCGGCTGTGAGCGACCGACGTCTCCTCCGCGCTCGGCCACAGATGACCGTCCAAGCCGTGTCCCGCCCGAGTCCAAGGCTGACGCCGGGAGGCTAGTCATTCGGCCGGAGGCGGTGGGCCAGCAGAAGGCCCGGGGCCCGGCCACCGCGTGGTCACCCGGCCCCGGCGGGCCCCCTCCCGGGAAACAAGCGCAACAGCCTACGACGATGACGACGACGACGACGACGGCGGTGTCGGTTTGGTCTCCAGTCCTGGGGAAGGGCATCAGACACCCACCTCTGCGCATCAGACTTCCCTGGAGCTCAGGAGGGAGCTCGTCAGGTGACAGTTTTCCTCCAGGGGAGGAGGCCAGCAGCTTCCTTCAGTCGCCACCTCCCGCTCCTGCTCCGGCGCCACCCAGTCTTCCCCAGAAACCCTCCGTGGGCCTGACTGCAGTTAGCCCGCTTCCCGCAGCCGCCCTGTCCACCGGCAGCTCCTCGCAGAGGACCCTGGCGCCCAGGGTCCCTGCCGACTCCCAGCCGCCGCCTGGGGAAGCGATCCGAGTTCGCGCGCTTCCCGCGGCCGCCCGGGCCGCCGCCAGCTCCTCACAGAGGCCCCCGGCCACCCCGGCCGTCCCGGCCACCCCGGTCTCGGCCACGGCCACGGCCAAGTCCCAGCCGCCGCCTGGGGAAGCGATCCGAGTTCGCGCGCTCTCTGCAGCCGCCCTGGCCGCCGCCAGCTCCTCACAGAGGTCCCCGGCCACCCCGGCCACCCCGGCCACCCCGGTCTCGGCCAAGTCCCAGAAGCCCGCTGTGGAATTGATTCGAGTCAGCATGTTTCCTGCAGGCGCTTTGCCCACCGCCGGCTCCTCATCAAGAACCACGGCCACCCCGGTCCCGGTCAAGTCCCAGAAATCCTCTGTGACACAGGACGCTGGAGTTAGCAGGCTGCCCACGACCACCCTGTCCCCCGCCAGCTCCTCCCAGAGCAGCCCGGCCACCCCGGTCACGGCCACGTGCGCCGGCCGCAGCGTCGTCCAAGCGGCGGGCCCTGGTGGCGGAGCCCAGGCTGTGGCGGGGGCCTGCAGCCCCAGGCAGGGCTCTACCGCCGGCTCCGCGGCTCCTGCGGCAAGTAAGCCCAGCAGCGTGCCCGAGCCCTCGGGAGCTCGGCCGCCAGAGGCAGTGTCCTCTGCGCCGCCGGTCCGCGTTCAGTTTTTTTTAAAAAGCGCTTCAGGCCTCAGGCCAGTGACTCTCCTGGAGCTTCCGCAAGATTCGCTCCTTTTGAACGCCGGGCAGCAGCCAGAGCAGAAGGTCTATCAGCTGATTCCCCAGGACCAACTCCAGCAAGCCCTCACTCCCGGCCCTCCGCAGCCAGTGCCACAGGGGTCAAGTGCACAAGGCGCGGCGAGTCCAAGAGCGGCCTCTTCTGCTCAGCCAGCCGTGCTCGTGAAGTTCGGTGCAAAAGGGAGTTTGCCGCAGCCCCAGGCAGCGGTGTCGGCGCTGGCACAGCTCGGCTCTGCAGAGAGCCAGAGAACACCCGGGCAGAGCCAGCCTCGTCCTCTGCAGGCACTGCAGCTGTCCCCTGCGGCGTCGTCGCAGCCCCAGCCCCAGCCCCCGCCCCGGGGTCAGCCCCAGCTCCAGGGTCAGCCCCAGCTGCAGCAGCCCCAGCCCCAGTCTCACCCCCCAGCCCCAGCCCCAGGGTCAGCCCTAGCCCCGGCCCCAGCCCCAGCATCACCCCCAGCCCCAGCCCCAGAAGCAGGTACAACAGCTGAGAATCTTGCAGGGCCCCAACTCCAGCCTCAGCCCTAGTCCCAGCCCCAGCCCCAGCCCCAGCCCCAGCCTCAGCCCCATCCCCAGAAGCAGGTACAACAGCTGAGAATCTTGCAGGGCCCCAGCTCCAGCCTCAGCCCTAGTCCCAGCCCCAGCCCCAGCCCTAGTCCCAGCCCCAGCCTCAGCCTCAGCCCCAGCCCCAGCCTCAGCCCCAGCCCCAGTATCACCCCCAGCCCCAGCCCCAGAAGCAGGTACAACAGCTGAGAATCTTGCAGGGCCCCAGCTCCAGCCTCAGCCCTAGTCCCAGCCCCAGCCATAGCCCCAGCCCCAGCCCCAGCCCCAGCCCCAGCTTCAGTGTCAGCCCTTGCCCAGCCCAGCCCCAGCCCCAGAAGCAGGTACAACAGCTGAGAATCTTGCAGGGACCCAGCTCCAGCCTCAGCCCTAGTCCCAGCCCCAGCCTCAGCACCAGCCTCAGTGTCAGCCCTTGCCCCAGCCCCAGCCCCAGGGTCAGCCCTAGCCCCAGCCCCAGCCTCAGCCCCAGCCCCAGCCCCAGTATCACCCCCAGCCCCGGCCTCAGCCCCAGCCCCAGAAGCAGGTACAACAGCTGAGAATCTTGCAGGGCCCCAACTCCAGCCTCAGCCATAGTCCCAGCCCCAGCCTCAGCCCCAGCCCCAGCCCCAGCCCCAGTCTGACTCCCAGTCTCACCCCCCACCTCAGGCCCAGCCCCAGCCTCAGCTCCAGAAGCAGGTACAACAGCTGAGAATCTTGCAGGGCCCTGCAGCTGTGACAATGGTAGCAGCCCAGATGCCTGGGCCACCTCAGGGCCAGCAGGCCGCAAGCCAGTCCAAAGGTAAAATGACCAGAGTCCCGCCTTCGCCTCCCCAGTTCTGAGTCTTGCATTATTTTCTGTCTTATTTTAAAAGCACCAGAGCATCCACCCAGGTGACCTCCCGATTTTTGACTTCACGTTGGGTGGTTTTGGTGTTTTTGTTTGTTTTCCATGAGGTATCGGTATTTTACGGTGAGATGTCTAAACTCTACGGAAGCACAACCTCATGAGCGTTATGTAGAAACAAGGCAGCGATTTAAGAACCTGGGATTGTGTTGCTTTGTTGCTGTAGTTGTAGACTGAGTTCTCTTTAGGAGAATGTTCTGCGGTGTCCTCAGCTCCACACTAGGTTCAGTCTAAAGTCCTAAAGCCGAGGATCCCTGGGTGGCTCAGCGGTTTGGCGCCTGCCTTTGGCCCAGGGCGCGATCCTGGAGTCCCGGGATCGAATCCCACGTCGGGCTCCCGGTGCATGGAGCCTGCTTCTCCCTCTGCCTGTGTCTCTGCCTCTCTCTCTCTCTCTATCATAAATAAATAAGTCTTAAAAAAATAAAGTCCTAAAGCCTATAATTTCTCGAAAATGATAAAACGACACTAGCAGTCAGTTAAAGCTGGTATCTTTTTTTAATCTGAAAACTTTCAGATGTGTTAAAAACCCTGACCTGAAGTGTACGGGCTCAGCAGCTTTTGAGTGTGCGGTTCAGCGATGCTGACTGGATTCGCGTCGTTGCGTGAAGGACCTCTGGAATGGTTCTCCTCTTGCGAAAGCGAGACTCTATCCCCACGGAGCAGCAGCTCCCCATTTCCCCATTTCCCCCTCTCCGCAGCCCAACACTGATGACTGGTTGAAGCGGCATCGCGGGGCAGCCGTGTCCTTTGGTGACTGGCTCACTCCGCGCGGCCAGTAAGGGACGTCCTCAAGGTTCGCCCACGTTGTCGCGTGGGACGCCAAGGTCGTAGCTTTCTAAACATGGTTTCCCTGTACATAGTCTGTACTGAAGTGACCTATTAAATACCAGAGACAGCTTTGAGAGGGATGGCCTCGGTGTGTGCTCTGAAAGGTCTGTGCACGGTGTCGTCCCTGCAGTTTTTACAAAGGCGCTTTGAAAGAAGAGGTGACGCCTACCGAGCGAGAGGTGACGTGCTTGTCAGGCCTGTGTGGAGGATGTGGGAGAGAGACCTCCCGATGGGCAGCGTGGCTCAGGGGCGCCCTGCTTGGTGGTGGCCCCCGGGCTGCGCTCAGTGCCCCCCACCCCCCGCGCCCCCTCAGGCCCCGCAGAGCTCAGCCTCTCTCCTCCAGGTGCAATCTGGCCTTGAAAAGGCACTTGTGAAAAAAAAAATAAAAAGAAAAAAGAAAAGGCACTTGTGGGATGTCTCGCTTCCCCCTGTACAGTCGCTGACTTGGTTTAGAACTGCAGGTTGTTTGCAGGCGTTAAACAGCTAAGCATTCGAAAATGAGCTTGCTTTATTTGCTTTTCAAGTGTTGGCAACCTCTCTGTCAGGTTCCGAAGCGGAATCCACCCGTTTCTTTCTCTTTTTTTTTAAATATATTTTTCTTATTGGAGTTCAGTTTGTCAACATATAGCATAACACCCAGTGCTCATCCCATCAAGTGCCCCCCTCAGTGCCCGTCACCCAGTCACCCCCACCCCCCGCCCACCTCCCCTTCCACCACCCCTAGTTCGTTTCCCAGAGTTAGGAGTCTCTCTCTCTCTCTCTCTCTCTCTCTTTTTTTTTTAATTTTTTTTTATTTATTTACGATAGTCACAGAGAGAGAAAGAGAGAGAGGCAGAGACACAGGCAGAGGGAGAAGCAGGCTCCATGCACCGGGAGCCCGACGTGGGATTCGATCCCGGGTCTCCAGGATCACGCCCTAGGCCAAAGGCAGGCGCCAAACCGCTGCGCCACCCAGGGATCCCTCTTTTTTTTTTTTTTTTTTTTTTTGAGTTAGGTGTCTCTTGTGTTCTGTCACCCTCTCTGATTTTTCCCACTCATTTTCTCTCCTTTCCCCTTTATTCCCTTCCACCCTTGTTTCTTTCTCCCTGTCTCTTCCTGGTGGCCATCAGTTGTTCGGCAGCCCCGGCTCCCCCGTGTCTGTCTGTCCCCGCTTTCTTGTCTCAGTGGGGCTCAAGATATCCCTGAAGTTCTCGCTGTTTCCCCCTTCTTTTTCTGGAGGTGTAGTTCACCTAAGCACCGAGTGACCGGTTTCAGGCGTACAGCTGAGTGGCATTGACTATGCTTCCAGTGCTCTGGGACCGCCAGCTCTAGTTCCACAACAGTTTCGTCACCCCAAAGAAAGCCCTGGAGCCAGGAAGCCCTGGCTGCCCACCCTCCCCTCCCCCAGCCCCGGAAACACCAGTTTGCTTCCTGTGTCTGTGGACTTCCCTGTTGTAGATATTTGCTGATGGCGGCGTCAGATGGCACGTGACCTTCCTTGCCTGGCCTGTCTCACTGGGCATAAGGGGTTTGAGGTTCGCCTGTGGTGTAACACGTATCGGGCTTTGTTCATTCTAGTCGGGCCGAAGAACGTTCCCTGGCGTGCATATAGCACATTGTGTCTACCCGTTGTTCATTGGTGGACGTGCAGGTTGCTTCCACCTCTTGGCCGTTGTGAGTACCGTTGGCTAGGAGCGTTGGTGTACATGTATTTTTTTGAGAGCCTCTCATATTTCATTCCATTACGGTTTTCTAAGGGGCACCCTGTCGCCATAAAATGTGTTTTTCTATGTACACATGCATGCTGCCTGCCTTTTGCCCTAGGAGAAAAGGGAAGTGTTGCCTGGCAGCCCAAAAGAGATGAACAAAGAGGCAGGGAACTGGTGCTTCCTGCTTGATCAACCCCGACTGTCCTGGGCCTGCTGTCCCAGCCCCGGTAAGGGAGGATTTCGACCAACTTCAAGAAATGAGTCAGCTCTGCCACGTGAGTGACGCTGAGCCTGCTAGGGCCCTCAGGTAACCCGTCCCGGACATCGTTGTGCACGTGCCTGCACTTTTCACGAGTGAGCCAGTGTAATGACCACTCGGTAAGAGGAATCGACCGGACCCCTGCACTGAGAATCTCACCTGATTTGATGTAGCTCTTTCCTTTTGCCCTCTCGGTACTGGTGACCCTTGAACGGTGTGGGGGTTAGGGGCGCCGAGTCCCCACGAGGTCAAAAAATCTGTATCTCTTGCCTAACCAAAAAGGTAACTCCTCATAGCCTACTGCTGACCAGAAGCTTTGCCGATCACTCAAACGCTCGACTGACATGTGTTTTGTCTATTATTGTAGTATAGGCTGTGTTCTTACAATAAAGTATGTCAGAGAAAACAAAATATCATGGAAATTATTAGGAAGACAGAATACATGTACCGTAGTCTACGGTATTTCTCGAAAAAATATGCATATAATGGACTTGAGACGCGTAAATCTATGTTGTTCAGGGTTCAATTATGCTACAGGGAGACATAGGTCAACTTGGCCTTGAGTCACGTGGAGCTCCCTTCCCAGGCCAGTAAATAAATTCAGCTTTGTGTGACATTACCATTGGTGGTCTTTGTTTATTTCCTTGTAGTATTCCTTACCAAGGTGTGTACTTCATGGAATGTATCTTTTGAGGATATTAACTGGCTTTGTTTTGCGAATAAAAGTGAAATTGTTTTTAGCATCTTGAGAACCTGGAGACTCTTCTTAACCATAGGTCAAATTCGTCATCTTAGTCTAAATTAGATTCATGCAGCCTGTGTGTTCATGACTTAATGACTGACCAACATGCAGTGGTTGTTTTAATGTAGTTGGCTCCAGAATTTTCCCATGGGGAGCAAAGAAGATGGTCCAGGAGATGACCATCTAGGAAACTCCTGGGTGGGCCCATAGAGCAGGACATGTCTGGCAATTGGGGCCTCTGCGACAGGCCGGAGTATCTCGACAGAATTGTATCTTTTGAATGGAACTTGCAAGTGCAGACAGGGGTCTGGTTCTAGGTCACTGCTGTCCAATAAAAATATAATTTGGGCCCCACATATAATTTAAATTTTCTAGTCAGGTTTTATTAAATAAATAGAAACAGAAGTAATCATCCTTAATAATTTACCCAGTATATACAAAAGATTATCATTTCTACATGTAATCAATAATTTTTTTAAAAAAATATTTCATTTATTTATTCATAAAAGACACAGAGAGTGGCAGAGAGAGGCAGACATATGAGAAGGAGGCTTCATGCAAGGAGCCCGATGCGGGACTCGATTCCGGGACTCCAAGGTCACACCCTGAGTGGAAGGCAGACGCTCAACCACTGAGCCACCAGGTGTCCCATAATAATTTTTTAAATATTTTATTTGTAAGTAATATCTACACCCAATGTGGGGCTTGAACTCACAATCCAGATGTCAAGAGTCCCAAGCTCCCCTGAATGAAACTGCTAGGCGCTCATATATCCTTAATGAGATATTTTACATTCTTTTATTTTTACTAAATCATCTTCAAAATCCGGACAGTTACAGCCTGTTTTAATTCAGATGCTAGATTTTCATCAGAAATACTTGATTTGTACTTAGGTTCTTATAAAATCTACAGTTGAAAATGTAGATTCATCTTCCAAGCATATGTACAAGTTTTCCAATAATTGGATCAAGTATCATTTTTTAAATTTTAGTTAAAATTAAAGAAAAATTAGTTCCTCAGTCTCACTAGCCATGTTTCAAGTGGTCAGTTGCCACATGTGGCTGTTTGAATAGCGCAGTTCTAGAGGGACAGCAACAAAGGAGATCTTAGAAACTCCCTAAGGCCTGAAGTGGGTAACTGTGCTCTTTGAGAAAAGGCAGGAGCCAATCAGCGGAGCGCACAGTTGGAGGGAGCATGATCATGCTGATTCTGTGTGCTAAAGCCAGAGCTCCCAGAAATCCTCAGGGCTTCTGGTCACCTGCAGCAGCAGAGTAGAGAACAAGTGGCCCCCACCATGGGGCAGGGGGAGTAGTAGAGCCTGGAAAACAAGGGCCAGCTCTTTCCCAGGCTCTGCCCTGCCATATTCAAAATGCTAACGAGGAGGGTGGAAACCATCCCAATAGTTAATTTTAACTCACCTATCCCACCTCTGCCCACAAGGAGCTTGAAACCTGCAGGAATTCAACAGAGGGAACACACTACGTGCTCTTTCATTCCACTTCCCTGTTCATTTTCTTGGTCTCTTGCTCCTCAACCTACCTGAAGCCAGAGCAACCACGAGTTGGTACTGGGAGCTGCAGTGATGGGTACGTGGAAGCTCACCATATCATTTTATTTTGGCATATATTTGTAATTGGCTGTCTATATCCATTTGAACAGTGAAGTTCCTGATGTTCCCACGGCCCTGTGACACACCTTGCCTCATGCCAACCTTTGTCTTGTGCCAGAGTCCTGCCTGGCCCTCGGCCTGCCCTTGCTCCTTTCCTGCTTCACTCCCATAGCCGCAGGCAGCAAAGGGTGTGCGAGTTAATTGTTAAATTCAGTTCAACAAGTTCCTCATTAGGGACAAATTACCTGAGTTTGAAATCTGCTAATTTTCCAATCAGAGTGAGTGTTTGCACTTGTGATTTGGAAATAATTACCATATGGTAAAAGCAAAACCTAGGTGGGGATTACAGTAAAGGTGAGGGAGGACAGGAGCTTATTTTGGCATCTTCCCCGGTAACTCGAGTTAGCATATGCAGATTAGTTGAGGTGCCTCTGGGGTTTGGATGGGAAAGCTCACCTGTAGCGCTGTTTTGCAAAGGCTGTTTACTTCATGTGCTAATACTCCTGGAAGGTGACCTTGGCCTTAAAGGGAGATCTGTGTGGCCTTTATAGGCCTGAATTGCTTCTGGAAAGAGGAGAGGCTTGAATTTAGCTGTTTCATCTACAAATACCTCTGTGCTTTTGCTTTAATTTGTCATCAGTCTAAAGCTTCTGCCTGAGTTACAAATGAAAACATTTCCTTGGGGGTGGAAGTGGGGAGTCTCAATGTCTTTTGGGTGATCTTACAATGGATGGATTCAGGAAAAGCTCATGTGAAATCATTTGAAGAAATGTGGGATAAGAATGTGAAGTGTGGAAATCTGAGTAACTTTCAGTCGATTTCTCCCAGTCCCAATTACTACTGTATTACTAGTTCGGCACCCTTGGAAAGCCATGGTAAAGAATAGTCAGGGTTTCGGGTAATTTTCAAGCCACTGCAGAAAAACCCCTGAGACTTTGCTTTTGAAATTTGGAGCCCAGAAGAGCTTGTCTCCCATGAGAAGGCAGTGTCCCCCTTCCTTCCTGGTAACTGGTGTTGTACAGGTTGTCAGGTTTCGCTTTATACCTCAGCTGACAGGAAACTCACAGCCAAATCTGAAACCGAAACCACCATGTTTACATTTATGGTTAGCACTTCAGCATACCTTGCTCTTTTGAAATGTTTGATTTCTCTTTCAGTAGTTCTTTTTTTTTTAAGATTTTATTTATTTATTCATGAGAATACAGAGAGGAGAGAGGCAGAGGCAGAGGGGAGAGGGAGAGGGAGAAGCAGGCTCCATGCAGGGAGCCTGACGTGGGACTTGATCCCGGGTCTCTCGGATCACACCCTGGGCTGCTAAACCGCTGAGCCACCAGGGCTTTTGTCAAAAGAAACCAGCAACAAATGCCTCTGCACAATTGTAAACAAATCTATAAATAGTAGCTTCTATTTGTTTCTATACATTGCCTCTAATATTTTTTTTTAAAGATTTTTTATTTATTCATGAGAGACACACAGAGAGAGGCAGAGACATAGGCAGGAGGAGAAGCAGGCTCCGTGCAGGGAGCCCAGTGTGGTACTGGATCCCCAGACCCCCCCCCCCCCACATCACTCCCTGAAGGCAGACGCTCAACCACTGAGCCACCCAGGTGTCCCACATTGCCTCTAATCTTAATAACCTTGCCCATTAGGTATTATGATCTTCTGAGGACTGAAGAAACTGAGGATCACATAGGACTGGCCTGAGGCAATAAAGGTATTAAGTTGGCATCATTGGTATTTTCTGTGTCCTTTCCACATCCATGCCTGTGTCTGAGTACAGGTAACTGATGTGTTGACCGGTCTCAACTCAGTGGTGGACTGCATACATGAAACTTGTTTTTTCTAATCACTGCTTTCAACCATGTGGCACCGCGCCTCCTTTCCCCTTCTTTCATGACCCCTTGGGCATATGTCGTAATTGTCAGGGTTACCTTGGTTGGTAAAGCTGATCAATCCCAAGTGCAATTTTAATATTATTATCCTCTGGTCTTTGGGGCAGAGAGAGGAGGGAGACAGAGGACTTCTGGGACACAGTCCTCTTCTGGCTCTAAAGCTCTTTGATCAGGGGATCCCTGGATGGCTCAGCGGTTTAGCGTCTGCCTTCAGCCCAGGGCGTGATCCTGGAGTCCCGGGGTCGAGTCCCATCCCACATCAGGCTCCCTGCATGGAGCCTGCTTCTGTCTGTGCCCCTATCTCTCTCTGTATGTTTATCCTAAATAAATAAAATTCAAAAAAATTAAAGCTCTCTGATCTAGAGAGGTGCCCTGCAGGGTGGCGGGGTCTGCGCGCTGGGGGCTGTTCTGTTTCTCCTCTGGGGCCTCCCTCAGCGAAGGGCAGCTATGCCTGCTGACTCTCACGCCCTTCTCCCGGTTCTGTCTCCCATCTCCTGGGCACCTCCTAAGGAAGCCTTGTGCTCCTCCCTGTGCAGCGTTGGGAACTGCCTACGTCCTTTTTTCCAGCTCTGCGGGCTGGGAGCCACGTTCCCATTTTCTTTCCAGACACAGGACGCCTCGGTACTTTTTGAGCTTCTCGCGCTCAGATATCTCTTGACCACAAGGGGGCACCAGACTCCAGGTTCACGGACTGCACACCCCGGAGCTATTTGTTCAGCCCGGGCAAGAATTTCCAAAGCCACGTCTCCCACGGTGGGCCCGCGGGTCTGTGCGGCTCAGCGAGGTTCCAGGCAGGAAACGGGGGGCCAACTTTCCCGTCGCACAGACCTTCCCGCTGTCCTCGAGCAGCTCCCTCAGGGTCCCCCCTTACACGTCTGTGGGTTTGGGGGAGCAGGAGGGCACCGCAGGGTCTCCTCTCCCCGCTCCCATTCTGCCCCAAGAGCAAGCAGCCTCCGGCCCGGGAACGCTCAGTTCCCCTCCCTCCCACTGCCGTCCCGTCGTGGCGACACAGCACGGTGGTGGTAGGCCGAAGGGGACAGTGAGCTGTGCCAGGGCCGGTTGTGCCATTTGTCTCAGTCCTTTTGTCTGAGCGGCTGCGGCTGCCGGATTGCTAACTTGGAGCCCTTCTTCAGGGTGTGGGAGCCTCTGACGCTTCGGTGTCCGGCCGGGGGCTTGGGCAGCGCGGGGCCCGCGGGAAGAGCACCTGCGCGCCGTCGCCCGCACCCACGGCCGGGTCCCCGCCTTCTTTCCTCGTCTCCACCGAACCTCTCTGGCTCTGCCCGCCCAGTTTCCAAAGGGAAAGGGCCGAGGTCTACAGCCGGTGGGACAGTTTTCCCGAAGGACGGTTCGGGGTGAGTTTTCTGCAGAGTTTAAGACTTGATTGGCAAGTCAGCGGCGGAGGCGCGGGCAGCTCGGGAAGCTTTCCCCCCCCACCCCTAGTATCGCTCTGGGGGGCATTCTTTGATGGGGAAAAGTGCTGTTCCCCCAGAGGTGCCTAAAGTGGCATGCAAAAATAGCTCCAACCCCAACCCCCTCCCGCCCCGCCCGCCCCACCCAGCAGGCTTGCTCTCGGGCTGTAAGCAGCTCTTCACCGAAGCCTTGGAGCTTCTGTGCCAGAGGTGGAGGGGGAAGGGGAGATCTTAACTCTTATCTGGGGCTGTGCATCTTTTTCTTACTCTGAGAGACCAGAGTTATTTTGAAATTATTATTATTTTTTGGCGCTGTTTGGAGAGTGTGGCGTTTGAAGGTGAGATTATGGAGGCCTATGGTTATCAGCAATGATGACGTCTAGGGTAAAACCATGGCAGTGGCCGCCTGTAGTAGCTAGTGAACACGATCATTGGAAGAGGGCCACACTATTGGAAGACTCATCTATCTATAAGGACGCTGAAATCATAGAAATTCTTATGGTATAGTGATGAATCAGGCCCTAGAATCTTCAGAGCATGCAGGGAAGTTGACTTCCCACCAGGTGGAGGGAGAATGGTTGGTGTTAGGGGTCAATTAGATCAACATATCAATAGCCGGGAATACTCAACCATCAATGCTGGTTGTAGGAGACTTCTTCAGTGTCATCTTTTAAATGTTGAGAGCATGCTTACATTGAAAGGCCTTTTGCTTGATACTTTGCATGAGGAGTAAGGCACATTCTCCATCTAAGTGGGATTGAAGCTTATCCAGGGAAAGTAGTTTGTAACTACGTGAGGTGATAGATGTGAACTAAACATTGCGGTTATCATTTCACAATATATACATACGTCAAATTATTGTGTTGTACACCTAGAATGAATACAATGTCATATGTCAATCATATCTCAATAAAACTGGAAAAAGTAAAATCTACTCAGAGACAAGGGAAATACACACGAGTATAAATCAAGGCGACTATGGCAACTATCATTTAAGATAAATCTTTCCAAAGGAATTGGGGAAGAACTCACAAAGGAGGTGACCTTTGGGTAGATCCTGGCTTGGATTTTGATAGGTTGAGATGACTATGGGAAGAGGTGTTCTTAGCAGAGGAACACTGGAGGATGATGTATGCAGAGGGGGAGCTGTCTGTATAGTATGTATAGTATGGTGTATGTACAGAGGGGAAGTGAAGGATAAGCCTGGAATGATCAATTGCCTCCATATCCTGGATCTTCTCTTAGTAATTTAAATGAAACAAAGAGTCCACTGTTTGAATAAAGAATCCAAGGGAGGACAGATTTATAACACTTTCATGCCTGAAGGGAGAGAGAAATTCCAAAGCTCTTCCACTTAACAAAGATATCTGACAGATAAATTTGTCACTTTTTGGGAAACAGAATTGATGATTTAAGTATTTTTATTAGCAGAGTGACACATTATTAAATAAGATGACCATAGCTGCAGACCTTTAGGTGTTATAGGTTCTATTTTGTAAGACATAGCAGCAAACACTGATATCCAGGTATCTTAAGGGATACGTTTCCTTACAAATAACACTTTAAAGGACAGTTTTATAGTAACAGAAAACAAAACAGGATCATGGCCTTTCACTCAAACCTCCATACTGGCCAGGAGAATGGGCCAGATATTTGAGTAAATGTTCCCAGTTGTAATTTCGTGACATGATTCTGGCTTTGTGCCACACAGTAAGTGTCTGCTTCTCTGCACCTGTAGGAAAGGAACATTTTCTCTTTATCTTTCTGAGATTTTTCACCAGCAGTTGGGCTGACAGTTTTAAGGTTAAGCATTAAAATTCCAAGAAGCTTAAATCTTAGAACAGGAAAAAGAAAAAGGTTATCGAGTAGGTGAACAAATTAAATATGAAATCGATAACATTAGGGTGAACCATGTGAAATTGTTGATATTTGACCATTTTTGCCCAATTAAAATGGCAGAGTTTCATATGGTTCAATCTAGTACCTACAGTTTCAGTCTTGAATGCCAGATGAAAAATGTGAAGTTAATTCGGTTAATACTGGGGAGCTGCCACTGGAGGAAAGTGCTGTGACTGGAGCTACCGTTTAGCACAGTTGGTCTGGTAGGAATGTGAAGGAGGGATTGGACTGGGAGAGACTGGATTAAATGTTACTTTAATACCCATCATACTTGAAATATACCCCTAGATCTGCATCCATAGTATAAATTGATGGAGAAGCTAAATTAGCTTCTAATTAACCTTCTAAGTTAAAGATTGAGAGTTTAAATGTCTCCGCAGTGATGGGCTACAATGGGTGGCCTGTAAAAATGGGTTTTTATGCTCCAGTAGATTCAAATCTTGGCAAACTGTTCTATCAGCTTGATTAAAAGAAACACTTTTAATGTGTTTAAAATGCCCGGGTGGCTCAGCGGTTGGGCATCTGCCTTCAGCTCAGCGCATGATCCTGGAGTCCTGGGAATGAGTCCCACATCGGGCTCCCTGCATGGAGCCTGCTTCTTCCTCTGCCTGTGTCTCTGCCTCTCTCTCTGTGTCTCTCATGAATAAATAAATAAAATCTTTAAAATAAAAATAAAAGAAACACTCGTCTGCCTACATCAAGCGGGAAAGGAGGCATCTTCAAATCTGTGGCTTTCCATGCTTGCCTTCCTGTCATACAGATCCCACAAAGCCTGCTGAGACACCCTTTCTCGAATCCTTTTGAGAAACAGGTTTATATACACAGATAATACTGTGAATGGCAGTTGCAATTTTTAATACTTTTTTGAGGACAAGGCAGACTGACAAAGGAATAAAATCCCGTGGGAATAAAATCATAGGGCTTTTTGGGCAAGCCTGCAAGTCACAGAATAAGCTCAATAGCCGGGAATACTCTTACTTCGTTATTTCTCAAACTTTGGTGTGCATCCAGGATCACTGGGGGCCTTGTTAAAACACAATTGGCTGAGCCCCACCCTCTGAATTTCTGATTGAGTAGATCTGGGTGGATGAGGCCTGAGAATATGCGTCTCTAACAAGTTCCCAGCTGAGGCTGATGCTTTTTCTGGTCCTGAGACCACACTTTGAGAATATACTGCTGTACTCTCGGAGGAAAGGTCTGAATATGCCTGTGAGAAGGGGGCGCTACTTCTGAAGAAAGAGAAGCATGAAAGGTTAAAAAAGAAAAAAAGAAGGATAGAATACTCAGGTAACTGACGTCATTCAGGTTGGTCTGCATGAGTGAGCCCTGAGAATTAGCATTTCTAAAAAGTTCTCAGATACTGCTGCTCTTCTAGGCCAGGGACCACCTGCACTCTGAAAACCACTGTCTGTGTGCCTATTACATGCAGTCCTCCAGGGTGAGTGCCCTATTTCCAAATTGACATCTGAACTATTTTTGGAGACCCTTCAAAAATTGGGTTTCTCTGGGCAGAATGCCAATTGTTTCCCAGTGTCAAGACCTTTATCTTAGTGAAATGGGTATAAAAACAGTGGAGGACCCTGTGGGAGTGGGGAGGAGGCAGGAGAGCAGTTTCATCACCTAATATTCTCTTGCTAGAGACCCACTGGTTCCCAGGTCGCCAGATCTCCAAAGCTAAGTATATATCCATGTTGAATATCTTAAGCAATAGAGAAAACAGGAAAATATCAAAGGGGATAGTCAAGATACAATGTTATTAAGATTTTTTTTTTTAAATCTGCTGGCTGTTTGCTACACTAAAACCTTCTGAAAGAGCAAAACTATGATCATTACTCTTTGACCTGGACATTCTTGGGAACAGGAGAGCCTGGGTTTTACAAGAGTCAACCTGCCTTCTGGAACACCATTCACTTCATAAAAATACCATGTGTGTTTTCTTTGCTATTCCTGGGGAGGGAGTACCAGTTTCAGAATCTCTTCCTCTAGTTAAAAATGATGTTATCAGATATCTGCTTAATCAGTAACTGTAAAATACTATGTTATTATATCAAGAATGAGCTTGGAGACCTCAAAATGCCAAAGATAGTTATGGCAGAGAGTGAGGGCCAGAATGAATGGAGATATAAAAGCACCTCTATTTGTTCACATTTTGAAATTATAGGGTTTTGGGGAAAATATTATCCAGTCTTCCTGAGAACTGGCAGGATTCTAGTTGCTATACTTTCTTTGATGTGTTTTCGAAGCAAAGCTTAAATATAGTCATAAAGAAAGACTCTGGATCTTATTTTTTTTCAATTCCCATGATGACTTTAATGTGGTAGTCATTCATTGAGGTGATTAAGGGATTGAGTAATTAAAGGGGTAGAGTTTGCCTTAAAATCACTAGCATGACCCACAGATAGCATTTCTCCCTGTTATGTCCCAGTACCTAGGACCATGCTCCAAGTACAGAATTATCCTTGACTAAATTAGGCTCTCTGGACTACTGCTTCCCATTTCCCATCAGAACCTGTCTATGGAAGATGGATTCAGTTGCAGAAAATTAAGTATGAGTGTATGAATGATAGTACAAGTTTGTCTTTTTAGTCATCAGCTATATTGATTTTCTCAGCCATTATCTCTCTGAAAACTGTCTTTAGAAAAAGAACATCAGCCAGGTGCCCTTTCTGGCCAGTATAAGGTCAAATTTGCTTCCTTTGGTCATGGATAGAGAGCCTTTTAATCAAACTTTTCATTGGAGGAGTCAAGGTCAATGTCACTGAGAATCTGTAAAGTAGGTTTGCCAGATTAAGGAAATAAGAATACAGCACCCCCAATTAAATTTGAATTTCAGGTAAACAATAAATTTGTATTTTAGCTATGTCCCATATGCAGCTATTCAAATTTAAATTAATTAAAATTAAATAAAATGTAAAATGCAATTCCCTAGTCGCACTGGCCATGTTGTCAAATGCTACATGTGGCTGGTGGTTACTGTATCGGACAGTGAAGATTAGTGCACATTACAGAACATTTCCATCACCAGAGAAAGTTCTGTGGGACAGTACTGCTCAGAGTGAGCCAGGAAGAGAAGATGTTCTTGGAGCTAGGTCCCTCAGCAGATGGTTTCGATCAGCAGGCTCTTGACATCCCATCTCTTTCTCCTTCACCGACGAAAATGCAGGTGATCTCCAAAGACCACAGAGAAAGGGACAGTCCAACCTTGTGCCCATTTGTGGGGCTGATCACTCAGTATCTGGGCAGAACCAGTTAAGTTCTCTGCCTAGCATTGCTCCTGAGAAAAACAGATCCTTCCTATTTGTGTGGGGCTTTGCAGATAACGGGGCACTTCTAAGTCCACATGGGATTTTATCCTCGCAGTAACTCTGGGTGGTAAACAGGCCCATGAGAGACATGGGAACAGGAACGTGAAACTGGTGCCAGAAGGAGTCGCCTCATGCTGTGGTGCAGGATTTCACATTTGAGCAGGCATCAGAATTCCCCGGAGGGCTTCTCAAGATGCAAATTGGTGGGCCCTGCCCCCAAGTTCCTGGTTCAGTAGGTCTGGGCTAGGGCCCATGAATTTTGATTTCTCAGGAGTCCCTGGGTTCAAAATGCCAGTCCAGGGATCACACTTTGAAAACTACTGCTATTGTGCCATGGTCCTACCCCAGCCTACTGATACAATGAGTTAGGGCTTTTTGTTTTCTCTGACCTGGTGGACTCCTTACCCTATTAGGACCATTTGACCAGCTGTGTCTGTTCACTGATTTGTATCATTATCACTTTTATCCTTTGTGCAGCTTTTATCCATCTGCTGGTTTGATAGTAAATCAGAGTGGAAGCATCAGCGGAGTCGAAGCTGACATTCTCTCCCTGACTCCGCATCGGACTGTGGTGTGCCCGGATTGTGATCTGGCCAAGCTCACTAGGTAGATATTTGAAGTTTTCATTTACCTATACACAAAGTAAGCATCAGAAAGGAAAAACATGCAATAACTTGCCCAGGGTCACAGACCTAGTGAGAGGTGGAACCAGGATATGAATCTGAGATTTCCAACTTCAGTTTTGGTACCAACAGATGCCCAGAGGTTTGTGAGAGTGTTCTGAGGTTTGGGATTTTTTTCAAATGGTAATGGAGTTATAATTTCAACTGTAAAGGCCTTAGATGTGGATTAGGTGTTCTCTGCAGTTTGTGGAGATTAGCTGGACCTATTTGGGCATCAGCCCCTTGGTTGCTTTATCACCCTGCTGACTACTTCGCATTAGGATGGTGGTTTTCACCATTTTATGGCTTCCAACTATTTTTATTTTTTATTTTTTTTAAGATTTTATTTACGAGAGAAAGAGAGAGTAAGCACTAGCAGGGAGGAGGGGCAGAAGGAGAGGGAGAAGCAGATTCCCCACTGGGCAGGGAGCCAGATTCTGGGCTCATCCTAGGACCCTGAGATCAAGACCTGAGGCCCAAGGCAGATGCTCAACCAACTGAGCCATCCAGGTGCCCTGCTTTCAACTGTTTTTATTCCCTTGTTTAACTTGTCCTCACAATGGATTATTGGTTAGAGAGAGGAGGCATCAAGAATATGAGTTAGAATAGAATGAGCTACTGAATAGTACACTTGAAAATGGTTCAGATGGTTAAAAAAAAGAATGATCTATTTATGAGGGACATAAAAATGATAATTCTCTATTTTGACCTCAGATCTATAAGGTATATTCATATTATCATTTCTTAATATATCAGGGTATCTCTAGTTCTTCTAAACAAAAGTGAAAAGGAGAAATTTTTATCCAGTTTGGCTTTTCCTTTATTGGGAATAAAATTATCCAAACCCACAGTGTGTTATTTCTGGAGAAGTACTTGCAAATAGCAGCCAGAAAGTGCTCGTGTCTCCTCTTTTAGAAACAAACCATGAAAATTATAATAATAAAGTAATTGATTTTTTTAAGTGCAAAATTCAAGAATTCCAAATACCAGGTCATGGAAGCTGTTTGGAAGGCGGTAACACATAGTTAAATTTCAGTCTAGATATTAATACACATTTGGGCCCAAACACAATATTGATGTGTCATTTTGAATTCGTAGCTAAGCCATGCTCTTTCTTGCATACTGAATTTAAAATAACTTAAGCAGCATGCACCACTTGTTAAGTGTGGAAGAGTCAAACTTTGTCCTTGTATATTATGAATATTATTAAAGAATATATTAAAATAGAAATTATAATAGTCTTTTTTTAAAGATTTTATTTATTCATGAGAGAGAGAGAGAGAGAGAGAGAGAGAGACAGGCAGAGACACAGGCAGAGGGAAAAGCAGGCTCCAAGCAGGGCGCCCAATGTGGGACTTGATCCCAGGTTTCCAGGATCACGCCCTGGGCTGAAGGCGGTGCTAAACTGCTGAGCCACCGGGGCTGCCCTATAATACAGTATTTAATAGTGTACTAATCTAGGGGGGCCTGAGTGGCTCAGTCAGTTAAGCATCTGCCTTCAGCTTAAGTCATGATCTCTGGGTCCTGGGATTGAGCTCCAGGTCAGGCTCCCTGCTCAGTGGGGAGCCTGCTTCTTCCTCTGCCTCTGCTCCTCCCCCTGTTTGTGCTAGCTCTCTCTCTGTCAAATAATTAAAATCTTGAAAAAATACATTTAAAAAATAGTGTACTGATCTAGGTTTATTTTTTAAAAGTTGCTTCTTCTTATATATCATGGTAAAGTAACAATGATTTAGCATTTTCATTGAGGCTGATGAGATGACAGATTACTATGAATGCACTTTATAAGGATCGAGACCCAGAAGTGTGGGGTGACTTCTATGTAGAGAGTAGGTTGGTGTGTGTCTGACTGTGTTTTCTGTTAGTTGGGGCTTTTGTGCTAACATTTCTAGTACAAGTAATAGAAATCTAAATCAAGCCAGGTTAAGCAAAAAGAGGGGCTTATTGGCCCAGTAAACTGACATGTTCTCAAGGGCTCTAAGACATCCACTGTATCAGAAGGCTCTCTGTCCTCTCAGCTCTGTGTCTCTTTTTGTGTTGGTCTCTTTTTCCCCTAGATATTCTTCTGTGTAATTGGGGGAGTGGGCAAAACTGACATCATCCTGGCAGAGAAAAGACAGCGTCTCTCTTCTGTCCATAGGTGGTGGACAAACAGATGATAGGAAGGAAACAGAGTAACAAGAGAAGGATACAATTCCGGGAAGAATCCCATTTAACTCTACTTGCTTCATGTCCCCACCTCCAGTGACTGGGGAGGTGGGCTGTTAGGACTGGCCAGGCCTTGATGACATGCCACCCTTGTGGGGCGCAGGTGGGCTAGAGCCCATCACACAGTGGGAAAGAGGCAGCTTCCAGCATGAAGAGGCTGTGGAAGGCTGAAGGCAGGCTGAGGTGCTAGACAGAGACTGGCTACAGACAGTGGCTCTGGTATGTGTGGAGTCCGGATGCCTTCAAAGTCTCCAGACACCTTGGATGTCTGGGGGAAAACAGCTTGCACTCCTGAGCTGGACATTCCCCATTTTCCTCTCCAGATCTCCTCGGGAGAATGGCTGCTTTCTGGTTGGGTCGAGTCAGCACAGACACCAGCAAGAGATTGGAGGCAGAAAGTGAGAGGTATTGGGGTATTCCGCCCCCCAACCCTGGCTTGCTTCCTACCCAACTGGCTTGGCTACTAGCCAGCAGCCCTCTCCCTGAGCTACAGCTTCTGCCAGTTTTGGGTGACTTGCTCTGTCCCTTGCCCCTTGGGGCCTAGGAGGAGGCAACTTGCCTCGGGGTGTGTCCCTATGCCTTGTGGATTGCCTAAATTTAACCCTGCCCTCCTGTTGGACTCAGGCTCTTCATTAGACTCCCCTCAGTTCCACTTCTAAGGGCACCATCTCTTTCCTGCAGGACCCTGCCCTTCCTCTGCACCAGCACACTTCTGGTCCTCCCGGATCCTCTCTCGCAAATATTTCTGAAACACTCCTGCTGAAAGGTTACGTATTCATCCAGGTCCACCCTGCTCAGGACTGTCACCTCAGCTGCCCTTTGGCGGCCAAGGTTCATGGTCTTTGGATTTTTGCTCCCTGTGGCCTTGCTCCCAGCAATGGATGCAAGCTCCTGCTTTTTTTCTCCAAAGACAAACTCATAATATTTAACACATTCACTGAAGGTGTAGGGGTAACCCAAAGAAATAAGATAGAAGAGGAAAAGAAAAGAGTGTGAAACTCTCCCTAGAGTGTTGTGTGGTGCTTTTAGGAAGCACTCTCTGGGACCTGGGGCCCTACATGAGTCTCTTTCCCTGGGCCAGTTTGCCACCTGGCCTGTGACTTTGTACCTCCCACCTTCACCCTGGGAGTAGGCCTGATTAGCATAAGCGAGTTCTTTTGAGGCACAGTGGAGATGGTGTATTGGCAGGAACTGACCACTCAAGGTTTAAGGAATTTAACTGATTTTAAGAGAGGGGTGGACCCGTGGCTGCTGCTGTTGAGTTCGCTCCCTAGAGGCAGAGAGAATGTAGATGGTTAAAGACTGTCAGCTGTGTAAGTCAGAGGAAAATGCATTTAAAATACAAAAAAGGAGATCCCTGGGTGGCTTAGCGGTTTAGCGCCTGCCATTGGCTCAGGGCATGATCCTGGAGTTCTGGGATGATCTATGCAGTCCCTGCATGGAGCCTGCTTCTCCCTCTGCCTGTGTCTCTGCCTCTCTCTCTCTCTCTCTGTGTCTCTCATGAATAAATAAATTAATAAAATCTTAAAAAAAATAAAATACAAAAAAAGGGGGTAGAGGGGGCACTTTGGGGGCACAGCCGGTTAAGTGTCTGACTCTTGATTTTAGCTCAGGTCATGATTTCAGGGTTGTGGGATTGAGCACAGAATCTGCTTAAGACTCCTCCTCCGTCTCCACTTCATGCTCTCTCTCAAATAAGTAAATCTTTTAAAAATATAAAATATGAAAAAAATTTTCTGGATCTGTCGCCCTGGAGATGCATGCAGACGGGGCCCAAGACCCGCATTTTGTTTTTAACCAGATATGTCTACAGTGAGAGTGAAAAAGTGTGTTGTGTAATTTTGTGTTAACTCTTCCATTTCCATGTCCTTTGTGGGCCAGGAACTCGGGCAGGTGGGTGCTGGCAAACAAGATGGGATATGCTTGGATGTGTTTGATACAGATAATGTTTCCGCACATGAAGAAGCAAGGCTGCAGCCCACAGAACTCAGGTGTGGCAATATTCCCTGGAAGCCAGAGGGGTCAGGAAAGAGCTTCCCTCACTGCATCCTCCAGCCTGCATCCCAGGCAGCAAATTAGGTCCTGCAAATTAGGGCGGACATGAATGGGATTTGAGTAGCAATGTGTAGGAGTCTATAGAAGCTGGCAAAAGAGAAATAATATTATTTAGTCTTCAAGAGAAAAATCAGCTATGCTAGCCTCTGAAGTAGCACTCACTCTCCAGTAAGGATTTTCTGCAGTGATGGACATGTTCTCTGTCTGTGCTATTCCATTCTGGTAGTCACTAGCCGCAAGTGGCTGTTGAGCACTCGAAATGTGGCTACTGAAAAGTGGGACTGAGGAAATGAATTTTTAATTTAATTAAATTTAAATTTAAATAGCCACATGTGGCTACAAGCTACCAACTTAGACAACACAGCAAAGTATGCAAAATGTATCTTGATTTAGGGCAGAGGACTAGGGGATTGACACAGGCTTGGGTTTTGCTCATAGTCTTGAAGTTAGGCCAGTGTACACACAATGTGGTTGTATAGTATTCAAGTGTTGGACAGCCTACTGGTTGTGGTGTGTGATGGTGATGGACCAGGAGGAGGAAGAGAAAGTCTGGGGCTGTAGCCTGAACAGGTGGTTGAAGAAAGTGGACTGAGGACTAGGCAGGAGGAAATTAGTAAATAGCATGATTCACGATATAAAGGTACATAGAAGGGCTTGCCCCAGTCTAGGGGGAAGCTGCAAGTATATGACAAATTGGTCCCACCCTCAAGGGGCTTACCACCTTCGGGGTTGAGACCAGACCTATCCATATAAAGTGCATGGTGAGCAAGAAATGTCAAAGTTATGCCAAGCAAATAAACACATAAATAAGGACAGCGTGATCAGAAAAGGGAGAGATCCAGGTCAGCCACAGATATTAGAACCAGACTTTCTGGAAGGATTGCTGGTTGTGTGACCTTGGGCAAGTCACCTTCCACCTCTGTGCTCACTTTCCTCATCATGAAGTGGAAATGATAAGGGTGCCAATATCACAGGGTTGCTGTGAGAATTAAATGCTATAACAGTCATGAAGTGCTTAGAACAATGTCTGGGATGCAGTAAGTCCTAATTAAGTCTTAGCTATTACTAGAGGGGACAAGAAATGGCAGAGGAGGGAGAAGGGCATCAACTTTCACGACCTGCAAAGTATGCAGGCATGTTCTTTAAATATCATTGAAACCACTTGTGAACAATTTGATACTGAGCAGAAATGTTATTTATGTTGTAATTAGCTATTTTTAAGTTCACTTGCATAGCAAAAGTCAGGGGGAGAAAAGTAAAATAGATTTCTGATAAATGTCCCCAGAAGTGGACCCTGAGACCATGATTCAGGTATAAGTGGTTTTTTGAGGACGAGCCCCCAGGGGCACCGGGAAGGGCATGGCAGAAGCAGGCCAGGGAAGGACAAGAAGCCAAGCAATGGGTGATCCTTTTTTTTAAAAAAATTTATTTCCAGTATAGTTAACACACAGTGTTATATTTATATTTAATTTGAGGTGCACAATATAGTGATTCACCAGTTCTATACATTACTCAGTGCTCATCATGGTAAGCACCCTTAATTCCCATCACCTATTTCACCCATCCTCTCCACCTCCCCTCTGACAACCATCAGTTTGTTTTGTATAGTTAAGGGTCTATTTTTTTTGTCTCTTTTTTGTTTTGTTTCTTAAATTCCACATATGAGTGAAATCATATGGTATTTGTCTTTCTCTGACTTATTTCACTTAGCATTATATTCTCTAGCTCCATCTGTGTCATTGGGAATGGCAAGATTTCATTCTTTTTTTATGGCTGAGTAATATTCTATTGTATATATACACCACATCTTCTTTGTTCATCTATTGGCTGTCGTAATAATAATGCAACAAACATAGGAGTGCATATCTCTTCGAATTAGTGTTTTCATGTTCTTTGGGTAAGTTCCCAGTAATTACTGGTCATATGGTAATTCCATTTTTATTTTCTGAGGAAGCACCATACTGTTTTCCACAGTGACTGCACCAGTTTGCACTCCCACCAACAGGGCAAGAGAGTTGCTTTTTTCCACATCCTCACCAACACTTGTTGTTTCTTGTATTCTTGATTTTAGCCATTCTGACAGGTGTGAGGTCATATCTCATTGTGGTTTTGATTTGAATTTTCCTGATGATGAATGATATTGAGCATCTTTTCATGTGTTTATTGGCCATTTGTATGTCTTTTTTGGAGAAATGTCTGCTCATGTCTTCTGCCCATTTTTAAATTGGATTGGTTTTTTGTGTTGAGTTATATAAGTTCTTTATATATTTTGGATACTAACCCTTTATTGGATATGTCATTTGCAAATCTCTTCTCCCATTCAGTATGTTGTCATTTAGTTTTGTTAGTTGTTTCCTTTGCTATGCAGAAGCTTCTTATTTTGTCCCAATAGTTTATTTTTGCTTTTATTTTCCTTGCCTCAGGAGACATGACTAGAAAAATGTTGCTGTTACCAATGTAAGAGAAATTAATGTCTGTGCTCCCTTCTAGGATCTTTCTGGTTTCAAGTCTCACATTTAGGTCTTTCATCCATTTTGAGTTTATTTTTGTGTTTGGTGTGAAAAAATGTCCAGTTTCATTCTTTTGAGTGCAGCTGTCTGGTTTTCCCAACACCATTTGTTGAAGAGACCCTTTCCCATTGCATATTCTTGCCTCCTTTGTCAAAGATTAATTGACCATATAATCCTGGGTTCATTTCTGGGCTCTCTATACTGTTCCATTGATCTCTGTGTCTATTTTTGTGTCAGTACCAAACTGTTTTGATTACTATAGCTTTGATTACTATCTTGATATCTGGGATTGTGATACCTCCAGTTTTTTTTATTATATTTCAAGATAAGCAAGGGATGTCATGCCTGGGTGGCTCAGTCAGTTAAGCATCTGCTTTTGGCTCAGGTTATGATTCCGGGGTCCTGGGATTGAGCCCTGCGTCAGGGTCCCTGCTCAGTGGGGAGCTGGCTTTTCCCTCTCTTCCTCACTCATGCTCTCTCGCTCTCTCTCAAATAAATAAATAAAATCTTTTAAAAAAAAGATAAGCAAGTAAGTAAGGAATGATCTTGAGTGAAGTCCCAGCCTCAGGGAAGCTCTTGAGGGTAAATTATACCCCAAGAGTTTATCCCAGATCCAAGCAAGGCAGCTGGGCTTTTAGATGCCCATGCCTGGCAGTCACTGGCAAAGCTCCTCTCTGGGAAACCTAAAATTCCAGGTACATCTGCTCTCTGCACAATGGGTGAAGCAATGTCAGAAGCTGGGGGCAGGGGGGCGGGGTGCAGGAAAGGACACAGAACCATGGGAAGGGCACACCAGAACAGTGAAAGGTCCAGAAAGAACAGAGGAAGCACTTGATGTTATCCACCAAGTGCTATGGGTTTTGAATAAGAATGAGCTGTTAAGTGTTTGGGGTAAATTGATGATGCTGATTGCTATCTGCTCATACATCTGAGTACCAGATCTCAAACTTCACACTAAGAGATCCCTTGAGGAATTGTTTAAAATGTAGATTCCCGGACCTCATCTGCAGACCTTCTGATTCAGTTGATAGTGCTCAGGAAAGTTCATTTTCAACATGCTCCCCAGGCAGATCAGATGTGAGGATCCTTGGGAACAACTGCTTAGGGGCTGGTGGAGGCTGCAAGAAGGCAGTGAGGGTAAGGTGGTCAGGCTGGGTAGTAGGCAGGGTCCCCAGGAGGGCTTTATCAGTGCAATCAGATGTCCACTCATGAACAGGCGTGGAAAAGCATGGAAACCACTTCATGAGACCCCCTTCCTGAGAAGGCTCCAAGTGAGATGGCTAGTCATGGATTGGAGAGGCTGCAGAACAACTGTCCCCACTAGTCATTCTGTGAGCCCTGAGGGAAGGGACAATGTGATTTCCACAACTACAATTAGGAGGTGTTTTAAGTTGAGTCCCCCAAAGGCCCTGAGACTAGGATTCAGGTGCAAGCGGTTTACCTGGGATGTGATGCCAGGAAAGCCTCAGCAGGGAAGTGGGGAAGAGACGAGAAGGGAAGGCAGTCAATACAGGGTAAGTGATCAGTGTCAGTGAGCAGGTTGCCACTGTGGGCCACCAGGTACAGTCCTGCTGGGGCATCTGGGAGACCATCTTGCACTAATCTCTGAATTGTCCCACTTGGCAGTGAGAGGCTTGGTTATTTTGCCATTACATCCCTTTTTCTTTTTTAGATTTTATTTATTCATTCACGAGAGACACACAGAGAGAGGCAGAGACACAGGCAGAGGGAGAAGCAGGCTCCATGCAGGGAGCCTGACATGGGACTCGATCTTGGGTCTCCAGGACCACACCTGGGCTGAAGGCAGCGCTAAACCACTGAGCCACCAGGGCTGCCCTACATCCCTTTTATTAATGGTTGAGGGCTATTCCTTGGAACATCTGGCCTACCCTGGATTTGTAGGGAGCACGTTCAGTAGCTGAAGAAGCCCCAGCAGAGTTTCAAACACTGGCAATAAAACATTATCTACATGGGGAGCCTGGGTGGCTCAGTTGGTTAAGTGTCTGCCTTCAGCTCAGGTCATGATCCTAGGGTCCTGGGATCGAGCCCCCTGTTGGGCTCCTTGCTCAGCAGGGAGTCTGCTTCTCAGTCTGCTTCTTCCCTTGCTCATGCTCATGCCTTCTCTCTCTTTCTCACTCTCTCAAATAAATCTTAAAATAAAAAGCTGTCTACATGTGTAGGACTGGTGAGTGCTGAGTCAGTCGGGCAGGACACCAAATGTGTCTGCAGTGGGACTGGGAATTGTTCATATTACTATAAGGACAATCTTTCACACTCAGTTGCTTGCTGCCTGCAGAGCTTGTGTGAGGTGGGTCGGCTTGTGTGCAGCTAGAGGGCAAGCTTTGTCTGCTGCGGTGCTCAGTTCCTCAGCTGTAGGCCCTGATGCTTTCAATTGGCCTACTCAGCCTGACGGGATTTCCAGAAAAATCTCAGCCAAAGAATTGTAAGAGACCCGGGCCTCCAGTTCGTAAGATTCCAGAAGACTTGTGCTGCTGGTGCTCAGGAATCAGCATTCCAAGGTAAGAAGGAAGCCAGAGCTTCCACCCACTCCCTTGCCTTGTACGTTTTTTTTGTTCACTCCATTGATGGATCTTGGAGCCATGCCTGGTTCTCTGAAGATGCATCCTTGCCCCCATTGTGCCAGGCTGAGCCGAAGAGGAAAGCTGTGAGATGCGGCCAGCATTTGTGGCGTTCCTTCTGGAATTGCCTTTTCTACCCATTTCTTCCTAGTTTCATCTCTGGTCTTGATCATTCACTGCTATCTCTTTGGTTTACCTTTCATTACCTTGCGGTAGTGGTGAAGGTGTGAGAACTGATCCACCAATCCTAGTTGTTGTTAGGGAGGTGACAGAGTGATGGGAAACAGGACAAAAAGGGGGTGCCTGGGTGGCTCAGTCAGTTGAGCCTCTGCCTTCAGCTCAGGTCATGATTTCAGAGTCCCGAGATCAAGCCCCGCATCAGGCTCCCTGCTTGGGGGAGAGAGCCTGCTTCTCACTCTCCCTCTGCCTGCCACTCTGCCTGCTTGTGCTCTCTCTCTCTGTGTGTCAAATAAATAAATAAAATCATAAAAAAAAGAAACAGGAGAAAATGACAGGGACAATTTGACCTAGTCAAGAAAATGATCCCCAGGCATGTCCCCAAGAGTTTAGGAAAGAAGATTTGTAAAAACTTAAAAATATAAGGGCATGAGTTCATGGCCAGAAAGCCCAAAAGGTAGAGATGAGCAAGGGAAAATGGTTGCTAAAACTGTTCATAATACCGAGCCACACAAGGAGCTGGAGAGCAAACAGGCAGATCTAAGGCAGCCATCTAGGCTGCAGAGAGGGCTCTCCAGTAGCTTTGATTTTCAAGGGATATGTCTAAAAGCAGAAACTTGGCATCCTTAAAGGAAAAACACAGAGCATGCCATAAACTTATCAGAAATCAAAAGACTAGACTAAGCTCAGATCTGAGAATGATACTAATGTAGCTGTAAAAAAAAAAAAAAAAGCTTTTATGCTCTATTTGAGCCAGAAATAAAATGAGGAAAGAATAGGTCTGCTTGGGATGAGTGAAATGATTAAAACAAATGTCAGGGAGAAAGGACCACACAACTCCTGGTTTGTTTTCCCCTTTTTTATTATTGTTTACTAAGGGAGTGCTCTTTAAACTGGAAAGGGTAAAAGACCCTTGGTTAAACCAGAGGTAGGGGCAGAAATAGGAAAGAATCACTGCTGTGTGTAGAACAAGATCAAGAGAGGAAATGTGTAGGTGGAAGGGACTGTCATGGCGGGTGGTGTATTCAGTTTTGTAGGTCAAGTTTTCAAAGAAGCACTGCCACAAACAAAGGGAGAAGGTACTTGAGAAGTGGAGGTTCTGAAAACCATGGCACATGAATGAAAGCTATCGGTGTGGGTGGGTTTAGCCAGGAAACAGGGAGGCTTGGGGGAAGCACACCCACCCTAGCACCACATGTGCTACTGGATGCCATTTAGAAGAAGACTAGGCTGTGCTATGGTAGGGTAGGCAGTGGAACTAAGGTCAGGGAACCACAGTCCAATTCCATATTAAAACTTCCAAATATTTAGAAGCAATTACCATTGAACATCTGCCTCAAAGCAACGATGTCTCCACAACAGTGAAGTCCAAAATGAGAGTAACTGAGCTGGTCAAGGCTGTTGTAGACAGAATTTTCTTACAGGGTATGAGGGTTAGCTTACAATCTCAAACATTCTTAGCCTTTTTTAGGCCCTGGACTCCTTTGAGAATCTCGTAAGAAACAGGGATCCTCTTTATATGAAAATGCTCACGTGTGCCAACACACCACTTTTTATATTCAGTTTCAAGGAGTTCACTGCCCCTAAAGCAAGATCATGGTCCCCAGGTTAAGAAGCCCATAGCTCAAGGGATTCTTCTGTTTCTAAAATGCAGTGATTCTAAGTCCTTTCCCTAGAAGTTACATTTTTACATTTTCACAGATCTCTTCCCAGTAGCCTTTTGTGAACATGTGAACATTTTCATGGCTCCATACCAAAAAAAAAAAAAAGGGTGGGGGGAGCAGTGCTGATTTCATGAAACCAGCTGAGTGTTCAGGACAACCCAAGATTTTTTGTTTCCTAATGTATGATTTCCACCTTATGGCAGCACTTCCTCTCAACACCTGTGTGTTCGACACTTAACATATTCGAGCCAATGCCAAGTCCCAAAGGTTCAACTCTCTAAATCTGGAAAGGACTGATTCCAAGTTGTTTGCCTTTTGCTTCCAGCTGTGTCTGCATCAGGTCAAAGCAGTGTTGTAATACATAGAAGCACCACCAGATGGCACCCTTGGGAAAGTCTTGCTTTGCAGTTGGTTTCTTAGCTCTGACGTCTATTCTAAACATAGCCTGGTAAAATGCTTGGGGAAGTGGGGAGAGAATCTGGAAGGGAGGAGGAAAAACACCAATGACAGGACAGCCCTTGCACTTTCCTGGGTTTTGATATACAGAGACAAGCCTTGATTACTTTCATTTCTTCTTTTGGAGGCTGATGCATAGATTTATATAATATATAAGCATTTCTTTCATACACATACATATATTTTCTGCCTCTGCTGATGCTCCATGTGATTTAAAAGCTGCTCATAATTTGGACGAAGAGCCTGTTCTTCTTTTGGATTGTAAACTTGCACATTCATCTTTTTATTGCGTCTGTCCCCTACTTTAGTTCCAGTAAGAATATTGAGTTTGCACAGAAACATCACAAAAGGGCTTTCTGGGAAGGGAAAAGCTCAGTTAGATCAGCTCTCTCTGCTGTGAACACTAGGCCACCTGGAAAGAAGATCAAAGGGAACAGAGAGGGCAGAGGTGGGCTGGGGTGGAGAGCAAGATTTTTTTTCCAATTTTTTTTTATTGGAGTTTAAGAGCAAGATTATCTTTGAAATTGACATATCTGTTCAATCTTCTCCCTTGCTCCTTCCAAATTTTTCTTAAAAAAGAGTTTTTAAAAACCCCACAGTCATGCTACATGAAGCCTCATATTTCCATTTCTTACTTTACTGCCTGACGTGGTGCTTGCTGCCAGTTGGTGAACTTACTTAAGAGAGGGAACAGTGTTGATTAGAGTACAGTTATCTTTTTTTAAAGATTTTATTTATTTATTCATGAAGGACACACACACACAGAGAGGCAGAGACACAGGCAGAGGGAGAAGCAGGCTCTCTGCGGGGAATTTGATGTGGGACTCAATCCCAGGACCCTGGGGTCACGGCCTGAGCCAAAGGCAGACGCTCAACCCCTGAGATACCCAGGCACCCTTAGAGTATAGTTATCTTTGTTGAGAAAGAGACCTCCATTGGTTTGTGCTCTTTAGCAGGCAGTTAGCAGAAATGAGCAGCTCAAAACAGATGCCATGTTTCTTTGGGGCATGGCTTTGGCCAGCCCTCTTTTCATTTTTGTACCTGCAAGTGGAAAATCCCCACTTTAATGAGCCACATACCCTGTGGAAAAAAATGTTTGACATTACTCAGTAGAGGACTTCTTTCCAAGTGTGAGAAGTAATGCAGAACCCCACTAAATTCAAAATGGGAGATTCTTTTCTTCCTATATTTTATTTCAAAGATAGTTCTGTTAGAAACCTGCCTTTTTGAGCAAAGAGGCATGAACAGAATTCCAAAGTGGTAGAGCTGGGAGAAAGCAGGCATATTGCCAGTTAGAGGGCATCTTTCTTGGCCTGGCTTTGCAGGGTGTTATATGGAATGCAGAGATTAAAGAGATACTATTCCTCTCCTCTAGGAGCTTCCAACCTGGTGGGAAAGACAAACATAGAGAAACCCTATGTTATGCCTGGAATTACACTTGAGTGCCAAAAGCAAAATAAAAATAAAGTACAGCTCTGCTTGGCTGGGCAGGGCTGCAGCAATTGAAAATCTACTAAAAAGTAGACTGTTAGTGAAGTCAAATTATCCTTTGTCCTTGAAATATAAGTAACTGGCTGGATGTGGGCTATTTTTCTTCTTTTTTATACTTTTCTGTTTTTTGTAAAATTTCTAAAATAAGCATGCTTAGATTTTTTTGCCCTCCTTATAAAAGAAAGTGAGAGTCTGAAGAGGAGAATGTATACCTTTTTTTTGTAGTACTCATACTATGTTAACAAAAGCAAACACTTATTTGGTGGTTACTATGGTGCCAGGTACTGTTCTAAGTGCTTTTATATACTAACTCATCTAATCCTCTCAGCCACCTTATAGGAGAGGTACTCTTATTAAACCCATTTTATAGATGAAGTAATTGAGGTGCAGAGAAATTAAGTAGCTTGCCTGAGTTACACCAGGATTTAAGTGGCTGAGTAGACTGGCTCCAGAGTTTGCAATGCCAAGTTTAGCTAACATTATAGAGGAAGAGTTTTTCCTCCTAAACTAATTTCCTGGGTAGCCCGGATGGCTCAGCGGTTTAGCGCTGCCTTCAGCCCAGGGCCTGATCCTGGAGACCCTGGATTGAGTCCCATGTCGGGCTCCCTGTGTGGAGCTTGTTTCTCCCTCTGCCTCTCTCTCTCTCTCTCTCTCTCTCTGTGTGTGTGTGTGTGTCTCATGAATAAATAAATAAAATCTTTTTAAAAAATAAACTAATTTCCTGGGTAACTGAAACTTGTCATTCTATCTCAGCATTGGGCTGGAGAATGACCTATTCCTGGAGAAGGATGGCATAGGAAGGGAGATGCTGGGATTGGAAAGTCATATCCAAATGGCTCAGTGACTTGGAGAAACCTCCAAGTGGAGACCAGAGAGTTTCCAGCTGGTTGGCTTTGCCTGGCGAAAAGAGTTCTGGTCTTATCTAGAAAAGCAGCTGACTCTGGGAGGGAATATGAAGGAGGAGTTGCTGCAGGTGAGCAGAAGACCCTAGAGAAAGGTATTGGGGTTGGGGTTGGGATCAGAGTCATGTAATAGGATTTCGGCTTAGAAGGCTGGTGTTCGGATTGGCGTTAGGGGTTC